CTTTTGTCCGACACTTCTTCAGAAACAAAATCGTCAACGAAGTAGTTGATAAGAAAATCTTTTACCAACAACTGATACTAAGACATAAATGAACAAGTTACCAATTGGTTAAGAAAAAGAAAAAAAATATACTGATTTTCTTCCCAGTCAGGCAATTGTTTCCCTGAATAAGGCCAACGTATATTTCAACTCCCGTTGTCTACACAGGGCAGGACGTTGCATGTTAATGATAAAAGACTCCAAGATGTCTAAACAGAGTCTTGTCCGTGTTCTGTGCAAGACAGAAAAGATATCAGGAGAATAATTTGTCCTGCCTACGGGCAACAGAAATTAAAATGTGCTTACCGATAACAAAATCATGAGTCTGCGAACGCCCGGATGTTACAGGTTTTTTGTCTACGCACCTGGCCCAGGACATGCTGGGCGATCCTAACCACCACTCTCTGCATGGTTTTGCTCACACAGTCGATCTCACATCGACATTTATATTGATATATTACTAAACTTTGTTGAGTGGAAGGAAAGACATCTTTACGGCAAGGAGGGGAAAGCCCAAATACTCCGGACCATAACGGCATTGAAACACCGTTTAACAGAATTAGAAATTTTGTCAGCAAATGTTTAACGCCCGGGACCAATCCATGAAAGCCTCACATAAACAGGGCATTTAGAAGGACCGTATTTCTTAACTTCATTGAACTTAACGATTTTTTGCTCAATGGTAGATGTTACAGCACATTCGAGGTAACCATTCATTAATAACAGCTGTTTAATTTTCTTTAACCCAGCGTCAAGTCTGCACTCAGAACACATCAAAGTAACGATGAGTAAGGGTACTAATGAGATTAATTTTCCTGAATGTGGAGGCAAATGAGTCCCGAGTTAAGTAAAGCACAGAAAAAGTGGGTTTAAGGTAAACACTTGTAAGAAAACCTGAAGGTGATCTTTCTACGAATACATCCAAGAAAGGGAGCTGATTATTCTTTTCTATCTCCATCGTATATTTTAAAGAAGGATAGAGATTATCTAGGCATGAGAAAAAAAGTCTTCCGCTTTACTTAGAGAGGAAAACAACGTAAAAGTATCATCCATATAGCGGAAGTAGGAATAAGGCTTATTAAATTTATCAAAGAGCTGCTTCTCATGAAAGCCAACAGAAATGTTGGCCAACAGAGGACCCAGTGGACTACCCATTGCTACTCCATCTATCTCTTGATACATGCAGTTGTTAAAGCTAAAGGAGACAGACTTCGTAGCCATCTCCATCAACTCAACAAAAACACCCCTAGGAAAAGATGGAGACGCTACATCAATGCACGATGAGTAAGGGTCCTAATAAAATTAAGCTTCCTGGATTTGGGTGCAAAAGAATCCCAGGTTAAGTAAATCCCAGAAAAAAATATGTTTATGATAATCACTGATAAATACAATCTCAGGGAAGGCAGAGTCTTTTTGGGGCCACGATACAAAAAGTCAGCACGAATTTCTATTGTTTCATCTCGTGGGACATTCGTGAACAAACAATACTCTGAACACAATAACAATATATGGTCAAGAACTTCAATGAGCCACTTGGGTAAAATTATGCTGGATTCAGCCCAGCATGGACAAAATCGACCTCAGTGGAACATCCTCTTTGTTTGTTTTCGGTAACCCATACATCCGAGGACGTTGTGGAAGCTATGGGACGAATATTATTATAAATTTCTTTAAATAGAAATTTACTCTTATGAAGTTACGACAATCTTTTCTGTAATCGAACTTCAGTTTTTAAAGTATTGTCACAAGTGACATCACCAATTTTTCCGAAACTTACTACTATCATTTAAAATAGCATTTTACAAATGCAGTAGGAATAATTTAGTATTACGACACCTGCACCTTTGTCAGGCCTAGTAATATACATATCTTGTGTGTGTCTATATATATATATATATATATATATATATATATAATTATTCATTCGAAAATTATAACATAAATATGTTTAGAAAATCACTACAAAAAAGTAGCCATTTTGTTTCCAACACCTCTGGTGTCTTATCAAAAGATGATGTTGAATATAGAATAAAGGGTTTTAAAAGGATATTCTATATTCAACATCATCATGGATCAAAGAATAGTGATTTTAAAATATATTTATGTTATAATTTTAATAAATAATTATATTTGCTCTACTCTGTATTGGGCACTCTTTTAAGAATAGTATTTTTGGTTATTGGAATTTATTCCGTATACACCAATCTCATACTTGGGTATATATATATATATATATATATATATATATATATATAAAGAAATATAGTCTTAAGGTGTGCTATATTTATGGGATAAAGTGCTCAATATCAGAGATAGGGCGTGTGTAAATATAAAGTGAACATAGAAGTCAACACTTAGAGGCGACAGTCTGTTTCATGCTAGATGCAATCGTCAGGCCTGACGATTGCATATATGTTCAAAATATATATATATATATATATATATATATATATATATGATGCGATGGATAAATTGTCGTCTAAATTACGCAAAAATGAAAAATAACACTGACATCTCATTTTAACAGATGTATTTACCAAAATTACACAAAAATATCTTGAAATACTCGAGAAAAGAAATAAAATAAAATCGCCATTGACTTCTACCACAGCCTGCAGACGACTTCGGAATCTCCTGGAACTCTTCTGGGCGGTTTGCTTCTTTAAGTTAGCGCATGTTGCTATAATACTTGACTTCAGTTAAACTTTAGGGCGGTACAAAGAGTTCTTTGTTGGTCTCTCCTCCAATTGCGCCCTATACATAATAATCAAGGGGGGATGCAGTCTTGTGGAGGGTTAGGTGGCAGATGCAAGCTGTAATGTTGTTGCAGAAATTGTCTGATAGCCATAACTGGGTACTTCGGCTTGTGTGATATGGTGCAGAGGTCTGTAGCTAGATATAGGTTCTTCCAGCAGGAAAAACCTTAGGTGTATTGGCTTGTAAATGAAAAAACCAATACCCAAGGAAAAATAAGGGATAAAAAAAGAGAAAGAACTAAGAACATGTAATTGTGGCGAAAACAATCGTCCAGAATCCAAGTTCAGAGTCCATAGAAAAAACCTCCAAAACGAGTTAAGCAAAAAGTAGGTCAGTAAGTGCTCAATAAGTAGAGCAAATCTAACTATGAACCTGAAGAGTCAGGCACACCTAGCTAGGTTTCACCTACGCGGATCGTCAGGGGTACGCTGGCCAGCGTACCCTAACTATTCATAGGTGAAACCTAGTAGGCTTGTTTGTTAATTCTTCAGGTTCATATATATATATATATATATATATATATATATATATATATATATATATATATATATATATATATATATATATATATATATATATATATATATATATATATATATATATATACTAGCTATCAGGCACTCTATCAGGCATAGCTCCTCCTTCAGTGCTCTTGATTGGGCCTTCATTGCAACAGTAGTGGATACGATAGGCAACAATAAACTACACAAGAACTCAAAATTAAATTAAAAGCATTAGTTCTGTTTCGTCTTCAAGCGAATTTTGGTTCCAAAATTCGGAGAACTAATGCTTTTAATTTAATTATATAATTAAATTTGAAATTTTTAGCTTCGGTTTTTGAAACATGGTAATTCCTGTGTAGCGAAGAAACCATATTTTTAAATCAGTTAATTTATAATATTTATACTCTGTAAATTTACATTGAGCACTGTTTTGTAAAAATAAAAATATCAATAAGAATACAGGATTATATATCTTACTGTTCTTCCTTTTCATCGTTATATATATATATATATATATATATATATATATATAATGCAACCAGCGATTCACGCCAATTAATTTTATAGATCGATTTTTACGAATAATCCTTCTCAGACAAGGAAGAATAATCCGTCAGGAATCGTCCGAACTTCATTTTGGAAAAAAATATGTTTGATGCTTTCGACATTTTTTATGTCATTCTTATGGTAGGTAGTGAAAAGTAGGGAGTTTAGTAGAACTAGTGACTAGTGTTTTGGTTTTTATCATTGCTTTCTTTGGTCAAGAACTTGACAAGATTAGGGTTAGGTTTTACCAACACTTTGGTTGATTGTTGTTTGGTTCGTTGTATATATGCTGAGTATGATCCTCCTAGACTTTTAGAACTAGCTAGTCTTTCTTTCTGTTGCTTTATCCTTCCCCATTTTTTTTCTTTCGGATATCCCTCCCCATATTCTTGCGTCTGCTGATATCTCTTCGGTAAAGCGGATCATTTTCATCTACATTTTCCTTCTTTCTCTCTACTCGTGTATTTATTTCATGCGTTTTCTTGCTATCCCTCATTCGCCATCACGTTTTTTAGCCTCTTTACCCGTGCCATTCGCTGATTCGGTCAATATATTTCCTGTTTTAGTTTTTAAGACTCTCACAATTTCTCACCCACCCTTATTGACTGCAGACTTTCTCAACGATGTCTTTAATTTAACGGATACATATTTTTCTCTTTTCACTTTCTCTAATTTTGTCCTTCTTTAAACTTTCTTTCGTTAATGTTCTTTGATTTCTCATAATTCCTATTTTTTCAGAAAGAAAGAAAACGTAAACAAAGGAAGATATTCTTCACTTTTCTTTCTTTCTTTCTTTCTTTCTTTCTTTCTTTCTTTCTTTCTTTCTTTCTTTCTTTGCTTGCCTTGTCTACCATTCTGTCTTTGCTGGCCTTTTCTTTCTTTCTTTCTTTCTTTCTTATTCATTTTATTTTCATTTTTGACTTTTCTTTCTTTTTTCTTTCTTTCTTTTCATTTTTGACTTTTCTTTCTTTCTTTCTTTTCATTTTTGACTTTCTTTCTTTCTTTGCATTATTTCTCTTTCTTTCTTTCTTTCTTTCTTTCTTTTTTCTTTTTTTCTTTTTATGCTTGCCTTGTCTACCATTCTGTCTTTGCTGGCCTTTTCTTTCTTTCTTTCTTTCTTTCTTTCTTTCTTTCTTTCTTTCTTTTCATTTTTGA